TGGAAGGAGCACGTTATGCATAGCTATATGGTGGACACAAGCTTATAACTGCATATTACTTGCAGAAACAGGGTAGAAGTATTAATAATCTACCATACGATGACAGTGCTTTTCCATTAGTTGTTACCTGTGAGAGTTGTATAACAGGGAAGTAAGCACCTCTGTTTCTCGTCTAGCAAAATTGCATTCCTGGCACGCTAAATGTAAGCTTCCTCTGCCAATTACCTCCAGGGAGGCAGCCCAAAATTACTACATTTGTTCTCAATGGGGCCTATCAGCACCACTCCCTCCTATCAAGTAACTCTATTTTCTCACTTGATTGGGACATTTACATGGGAGTTGCCCTAGAATATCCATTTATCTCAGCTGGACATCTCATCCCATATTTCTTTTCTTTCTTTTTGGTATGGCTGGCAATGGAATTAGCAATAAGGGTTTGTTGGAAGTTCTGTCTGCTTTAATTTATGGTGAGAAGCAGCACCAGTGGAGGAAAGAAGGAAGATCGCTATCTTCTTCTTGCATGAACAAAAAGCTGCTTATAAACATTCTGCTTTTCTCAAGAAGTTGATTGTTCTTTGAGGACAGTAAAACTAATTACCGCTGAAGCAAGTAGAAAATATTTGATATGGACTCCTTCCCAGTGGGCTCCTTAGCATGGCACCATGCTTGGCACTGTAGCTGTTGGACCCACACCAGAGTGTGGGAACTGTCCTAGGAAAATTGGAATCTTCCCAGGAACCTCTTAGCCTAGTAAGTCATGCTAGACGGTGTGTGCTCCAACCCCAATGCATATACCCGGGAATAGGCATATGCAATGCTGTGATGGGCAGGTTACCAAAAAAAAATGTAGTGATGGCCACCAATTTGGGTGGCTTTGAAAGAGGGTTAGACAAATTCATGGAGAATAAGGCTATCAAAGACTACTGCCCACAATGACTATGTTCTGCCTCCTAGAAAATATGCCTTGAAATACCAATTGCTGGGAACCGCAGATGGAGAAAGTGCTGTTGCACTCAGATTCTGCTTGCATGTTTCCCATGGGCGTCTGGTTGGCTACTATGGAGAGTGCTGTAGCCTGGGGGCCAAAAGTGTGATTGCCCCAGGCACAAAATTGTTAGGGGTGCAAAATTTCAACACCTGATGTTACCTCAATACAGCTGTGCACTTCTGGCACTGGGCTCCATTGAAAGCAGCTTCTTCATGCAAACCAGGAAGTGACCTCTTCAGACAATGGAATGACTCTTCTTATCTCTGCTGCGGTGATCTCCTGGGTGGCAGGATGCCATTAGGCAGTTGAATGAGCATGCATACTCCATCCATTTCCTTCTCTCCCATCCACCCTTCACACAGCCCTGGGCACTAGCAACCCACGCTACACCACTGACTGTGGGAACAGATATCTGGACTAGATGAAACTTTGGCCTGATCCAGCAGGCTCTTCATATGTTTGCTTGCTCAATATGAAGCTCTTGGTTTAACCAGGCCTGGTATAAATACTGGGAGTCTAGCTTTCTGCCCATGTGAGGTCAATACACAGATAACTTCAGGTTTCAGCTTCCAGCTCAAACTCCAAGAAATGGTTTCAAGGTTAGATTAAGATTAAATTAGATTAAGCTACAGCCACCCACACCTTGGTAGGGTACCTGTGGTTTGAAACAGGGCTGGGGCTGTGCTTCTCATCTGACCTCTGCCATTGCATCCCTGCACAAGCCACACCTTTTGACGTTCATCTGTTGTGTGTGGTTCTCTGCAAAGGATCTCCCTGAACACAAGCAGCTCCTTGCACATTGCCCATTCAAATACCCAGTTGCACAGGCATCCTGTTCACATGGAACCTCAGTGGAATACTAGCTGCTGACCTGTAGGGGCTCCTTTGCAAGGAACTTCATTTGACAAACAGACATTGGAGCTAGCATTGTTCCTACTCTTGCGTCAAACCATGAGCTTCCTCTTTTGCATCTAAGTCCTATTAAGGAGTCTTCAACACTCTAGTAGAGATAAAGTTGTTCATGGGATGTGAATACGGTTCTGATGAAGTCCATTAGCTTAGAAGGCTTTTTAAGAAGATTAGACTATGAAAAGATTTCAGCTATGATAGCTCTCCATTTCAAGGCAGTAATTGACAGGTGCTGAGGCCAAACACCACCTTGCTGTTTCCATTATGGCTGCTTGGAGGCGTCCCTAGTGCATGAGGTACAATTGTACTGGTCGAGGTGGGGCCAGCAGTGCAATGCTGATGTGTTTATGTTCTGCAGGGTGACCCCACATGGAGCCCCCCCAAAAATGGATGTGTGGAGTATGTGACCGATGTTGGTTTCTTACCTATTTCTGCCAGCCATGTGGATGGCGAAAACCAACCGATGCAGGCTGAAGAACGATGCTCTGGTGGGCTGGTGCAGTGCTGAAATGTTGCTTGTAATAGAAAAAAAAATAGTAAGATGTGCTCTTATTTCTTGCTAGAATTTGACATATGAAAGAGGCATTTGGTTGAACAAAGGTAGTGGCAGCCCTTGGACAGATCAGAATACATTTGGTGTCTACTAACTTGATGCTTGGGACGCGGGTGGCACTGTGGGTTAACCCACAGAGCCTAGGACTTGCCGATCTGAAAGTCGGCGGTTCGAATCCCCATGACGGGGTGAGCTCCCATTGCTGGGTCCCTGCTCCTGTCAACCTAGCAGTTTGAAAGCACATCAAAGTGCAAGTAGATAAATAGGTACTGTTCCAGTGAGAAGGTAAACAGCATTTCCGTGCACTGCTCTGGTTCGCCAGAAGTGGCTTAGTCATGCGGCCACATGACCCGGAAGCTGTACACCGGCTCCCTCGGCCAATAAAGTGAGATGAGCATCGCAACCCCAGAGTCGGTCACAACTGGACCTAATGGTCAGGGGTCCCTTTACCTTAACTTGATGCTCATAGGTCTTTAGTTCATAAAATACCTGACAAGCAAGGGTGGGGAATCTCAGGTCCAGGGGCCAAATGTAGCCCTCCGTGAATCTCTATCTGGCCCCTGAAATTCTGCAGGTCACACTTGTCTTGCGTCACACTCTGTTCTTGCCTGACTGGAATGTGTCCTTGAAATCTGCCAGTGCCTCTTGCTTGTTTGGGTGGAGAACACAGAGGGGTGAGTGAGGGTGTGTAGAAACTACGCTACCGCACAAATGGAAATTTTGCAATAGTTTCTCAGCCAGCATTTGCCTCTGGCTCCACCCACCCTTGGCATCTGGCCATTGGAAGTTTGCCCAGAAGTGAACGAGGCCTTCAAGGCTCCTTCCCCACCCCAGCTGTTAGCGTCCCTGTGAACTAGAAAAGTGATGCTACCAGGGCCAATTTACACCCCTAGCAATAAAACAGGCAGCCTTGTGTAGCATTGTGTCAAGCCGTCCATGCCATTCCTTAGGTCTGTGCAGTGCTGGGGTGTCCATGTGGTGGCTTAGAAGTGGGAGGGTGCCATTTCCTCGATGTATTCAAGGCTCTTCTTAGAGGAAGATCCTTAGTCAGGTAACTGTAGTATTGCACAATAAGCTGACCATCGAAGAAGAATATTTGCCCTTAGAGAGAACTCTCTATTAAGCCAACAGTTTCGCCTTTGATGAAGCATTTTGATTTGTTGGAAGAGCAGGGCTACTCTTTGAAGATTCTCATTGCATTTCTGGTGTGTTTGTGTCTGTGCGTGTTTGCTTTGAAGTATTTTTCATCCTGAAGGCATTCCCTCCTTCCCACCCATCCCCAATATTTCAAGTCTTTAGGTATTGTCTAGGGGAGAGGGGGAAAACTCTCAGAAGCAGTATAATAATAGCAGTACTACTACTTGTAGTAGTACTAATTACTACTAGTAGTAGTACTACTACTAGTAATAATAATAAATAATTTTATTTATACACTGTCCGCATGGCTGGGTTTCCCCAGCCACTCTGGGCAGCTTACAGTACATATAAAAACATATGTATTCAACCTTGCAGAATTTTGGAAGGGCTATTGTTTTCGTTGGCTATTATGGTATGTATCTTTGTAGTTTTTATACTGTGAACCGTCCTGTGTTCTTCGGATGAAGGGCACTATAGAAATTTAATAAATAATTATAACAATGCATTATTACTGCCATTTTTGTTGTGGTGGTTAGTGGCAGTAGCCGGTCCCAGCACAGTTCAGCTCTGTGTCTTCTGGGCAGCGCAGAAATGCACATTCAGACACTTTGCTCTTCTTCTCACCTAGCTTTATGGCTTGCAGCACGATTAACTCCCCATTTTCATACTGTTAGATTGGTGTTGCAAAAGAGTTTCACTTTCAGCTCTCTGTGCTTACGGAGCACGCAGAACATCTGGAAACATTCACTTTATAGACTACAATTCTGTGTTCCTTTTTCTCTGGCCAGAGTCGAGTGAACTCATTAAATGTGAGTGAAACGCTCCCCTCGGTTATTTTCAAGCCTCATGGCTTTCAGGTACCACACTGCATTTACACAGCTAGGAAGGGTGTTCCGTTTTCCCCTTCAAAAGTGACATTGGACTATAAATCTCAGTGAGAGTCAACAGTATTTTCGCAACTGTGCTAGGGTCAATTGAGGTTATAGATCGGATCTCCTGTTAAAAAAATAATGAAACAGCTGGGGTGGAGTCCCAATTTTTATCAGCGCATCAGCACTAGAAACACCTAACATTGCAGAATGGCTTCTTTAAAAATGGTATACAGCATTGTCTGCAAAACAGACCTATTACTCAGGAGGACAATATAACCATCAAAATCATAAATTTTATAGAGAAAACATCCCTGTTTATGAATTTTGGGAAGGAGAAATAGACAGGATAATATCCAACCATTTGCCTTCCCCACCACCATGTTATGACTGATATTCAAATTTATCGAAATGCTAGTGATATCAAATTGGAACACAGAACCTAGGGAGCTGCTTTTTACTGAGTCAGACCATTGGTCCTTCTAAGTCACCATTGTGGCAGTGGCTCTCCAGGGGTCAGAGGAGGCTCCCTCCCAGCCCTACCTGGAGATGCCAGGGATTGAACCTGGGACCTTCTGCATGCCAAGCAGATGTTCTCTTTCTTCTAAATCAGTGTTTCCCAACCTTGGGTCTCCAGCTGTTTTGGTTTGCTACAATTCCCATCACCCCTGCCCACTGGTCCTGCTAGCTAAGGATGGTGGAAGTTGTAGTCCAAAACCACCTGGAGACCCAAGATTGGGAAACTCTATTCTAAATAGTGATCCCCAGAAAAGCCCTCCAGATGTTACGAATCTACAGTTCTCATCATCCTTGGTCACTGGCCATGCTTGCTTAGGGCTGATGGGAATTATTGTTCAGCAACAACTGAAGGGCCAATGGTCCCCCACGCCTAAGGTTATGACTCTGTCCTGTATTTGGTGTGCTGTTTCCCACCACCACAAAAATAGCCAAATAAATTTCAGTGAACCAGTCATTTCCCAGTCTCAAACTCACGCATACCCCTAAGATGCAATTATCCCCTGGAAGAGGAATAGCCAAAATATACCTGCCTGTATCCCACCTGCAGCTAATAGCAGTTAGCGGGGAATACAGAGCAGGAAAAGGTAGCAATGGACACATACCAACACTGATCAGAACTGGAGCCATCACCACTACCAGAAACACCTGGCTGCTTTAAAGGAAAGAAAAATGTTTTGAGAGATATGTGATTAGATCCGCTTTGCTTTGGCCTTTGCCTATTTTGACCCATTTGAAAATTCAATTCAGCACAGAAGTGCGACCAGGTGGGAATATACTATTTTCACTTCAAAGGCTCCAAGCAAAACTGTTTTTACATGAAAACCGAGTAAGTGATTGGCCCCTGAAACTGTATCCCCTTGTAGTATGCAAATACATGGTATTTTACATTCAAAATACAGGCCTAGAAGATTATCATCACAGTCTAGAAGAGTTTAAAGTATTTTCAGAGTAACAGCTATAGGCAGAAAGAGCCAACCAATGCTGCTTCCCTTTAACCAGCATTCAGCTGAACACCCCTTAAAATCTGGCTTTGGGAGACTGGTCACTCTATTGTAGTTAAAAACTGAAAGGCCTGGGTCAATCTCTTGAAAAGGGAGGTTGAGTGTGAAGCATTTATTAACATATCCTAGAACTGACTGAAAGATTTTAAAAAAATTGACCAAAAGGTCACTTATAGTACAGCTCTCTGGAAAAATCAAAATGGTGGCAATTGTTTTTCCTCCAAAAGCATTTCACCTCATTCACCCGTCCATCCCAAAATATAGTTGAAATGAAACACCCATTTATGAGCAGGGCAAAATGGCCCTCATTAAATTTTTGTAGCGTGTCATAATCCAGTTCCATTTCTCTGGAGCCTTGGAACTAGGTTTGGGCATTATTATTTTCTTCTTCCTATATCACTGGCAGGCTGATGTAGAAGTAGTGGAGGCAATGCCAGGCATAGAAATCAGTAACTCAGAGATCAGCATGGGTGTTGCGTGGCAAGTTCCCGACACACCCCCCCCAGGTGGAAATAATGACACATGACACAATTATCAAGGTTAATGGGCTAAAAAAGGGCCTCAACTTATTGGTTACAGGTGATGAGCGGTATTGGCTTAGGCATTGGACCTAACCAACTATATCTGACTCCAGCTCGTCTGCTTGAAGTCTGGGAAGGGCTAACCACCAGTAGGGGGAGTCCTCCTGATGCACATCAACTAGGAGCTCCCCCGGGGTCACCGATATGGGCCATTCCTTAGGCCCTAACCTCCCTAGGCTTCGGACAGGGCCACGCCCCCCAGAATCCTTCAATATGTGGGGCAGGTGATGGCACAACCTCCCCTCTTTACATCTACATAACTATTCCAATGATAAGCACTGATACTTAAGATTCCATTCCCCTCTGGTGGAACAGTGCTGGTGGAACAGAGCTTAATGCAATGCTGGAGAGGAGCTACCATGGAGCAAAGAGGAGGGTAACAATGATTAATATGGAAAGTAACAGTGTGGTTGCATCCAACACCCTTTAACTCATGGGTAAGATGATTCTCTCAGATTATGATAATAGTGGAGCATTGTGACAAGCTGCAGTAAACATCTCACAAGTACCCCATGGATGTGTTTGCTAGAGAGCCATTGGAGAATGGTAAGGACTGGGCATCATGATCTTCCATTGCTGGCACAATGGGCAATGCTGATAAAGCCCCCAAGAAGCTGAATCATATCTTTGGAGGGGGCATAGAGATGTTAGAACGTCCTGGGTGGAGCTCAAGTGGTTGGTTGCGTATGTGTGACTGTGCCTTGGTCCAGTATGGCTGGGAGATGACTCTGAGATGAGTCGAGCTGTGGTGCTGCCATAACCGTTACCAAGCTGAGCACGCAAAAGGTACACTATGGTCAACACTATGGTTGACAGCAGTGCCAGATTTACGTATAACCTAAACAAGCTATAGCTTAGGGCCCCACTCTCTTGGTAAATTGTGTTTCTAAAGGAACTTTTGCTATTGCCAAATGCCAATGTGTTTGCATTATTAAGTTTGTTATGAATAAAAAATCATTTTAAGTTAGAGCTTAATAATTATTTCTCTATTAATATACTTCTTCTTAATTGTATTTCACTATTAATATACAGTGGTTAATTATACACTATTAATATACCTCGGGTTAAGTACTTAATTCGTTTCGGAGGTTCTTTCTTAACCAGAAACTGCTCTTAACCTGAGGTACCACTTTAGCTAATGGGGCCTTCCGCTGCCACTGCACCGCCGCCGCACGATTTCTGTTCTCATCCTGAAGCAAAGTTCTTAACCCGAGTACTATTTCTGGGTTAGCGGAGTCTGTAATCTGAAGCGTCTGTAACCTGAAGCATCTGCAACCTGAAGCATCTGTAACCCAAGGTACCACTGTACTTCTTCTTAATTGTATTTCAGTTCAACAATTACTTTGATAAAATACATATTTTGTTATGTGCAAGCGGCTTTAGATACCTATTAGGTCCATAAATTACCATATGGCATATATTCAACACAAAAAACAGCGGCAATTTGTTGTTGACAAAGAAGAGCTGGACATATAAAGGGCCCCATTACCTTCAGTAGCATAGGGCCTCATCAAACCTAAATCTCGCCGTGGTTCACTGTATCCCACTGATGAGTAGAGAGCACTTGCCCAGTTACCGGTAGGTGTTTCTCTTGGAGGCTTTAGAAATTGCATATGAACATGTGTATATAATGGGAAATTCATATGGAAATGCTGGCGAATTTCATAGAATCATAGAGCTTTAGAACTGGAAGGACCCCGAGGGTCGTCTAATTCAACCACCTTGCATGGAAGACATCCCAACTAAAGTATCTCTGACAGATGATGATTTTTGTGGAGGTTTTTTTAAAAAAAAGAATTTGCAACCTGATATGGAAAAGTAGAGAACTGAAGGTTGGAAAAATGAGAAACTGAGAGAAGTCAAAATTAGCAGGTTCAACCATTCCTTTCCAACAGTTAATACAGTGGTACCTTGGTTTCCGAAGACGCCTCAGAAGTCGAACATGCCACGCGGCTTTCGCTGACTGCAAGATCCAGAGGCCTAGCTGTCAGCTGCTGAGTCTTGGTTTTTGAACGTTTCAGAACTCAAATGGTCTTCCAGAATGGATTACGTTCAAAAACCGAGGTACCAAGGTTGAGAACTTAATTCGTTCCGGAGGTCCGTTCTTAACCTGAAACTGTTCTTAACCTGAGGTACCACTTTAGCTAATGGGGCCTCCCGCTGCTGCCACGTAATTTCTGTTCTCATCCTGAAGCAAAGTTCTTAACCCAAGGTACTATTTCTGGGTTAGCATAGTCTGTAACCTGAAGCGTCTGTAACCTGAAGCATCTGTAACCCAAGGTACCGCTGTATAATGAATGTATGCAGCATGGATATAGAGCCTGCCACCATGACGTCAATCCCCTCTCTAGGCACATTCATTCCATTTGAATTGACCTCCAAATATGGCTTTAGAATAATAGAATTTAGACTTATAGAGTTGGAAGACATCCTGAGGGTCATCTGGTCCACCCCTGCAATCCTTTTTGCTTTAAACAGAGGTGCAAATTTACTTGCTTTTTATCATGTATTGTTTCAGGTAGATACACACAGGTGTGTTTTTTTAAAATAAAAAAAATCACCAACACATACTCTTCATTTCTTTTACTGGCTTTGTGCTATGTCCTTTTCCTTCTGAACGCTGACTTTAAATATTTGCACCTCTTTTGGTGAATATTTTTTCCTTTCTTGTTTTTTAAACTCTGCTTTGGGTGCTTTTTGACCTCATAATCTTTCCATGCATGACATCACAATTGGTTGCCATGGAAAGACCCACTATATCAAACAAGGGTTCTGGGCAAAGGTTACCTTGCAGAAGAGAGATAGAGATTTCATGGGAAAATCCATTAATACTTAAATATAGTGTGATAGGAAATATCATAGTATCTTTACCAAAATCAGTTACATAACTTTAAAGAGAGGCATTCAAGTCAGATGAGACCATATCTGTTCCCCATATCTCCCATTCCAGTGGTAATTGAAGTTTTATACACGCACACAGAGTTTATGCATATATATATATATATATATATATATATATATATATATATCAGGAAAAGCTTTGTGCATTTCCAAAACCATTCTGAATTTAATCCAATCTCAGTATGATCCTGCTTGCAATTATGGGTAATGATAGGGAAGGTTTTGTTCTGAAGATCCCCAAATACAAACAAATAATATTTTATCTTATATACTTATAACCCCAAAGGCAGGGAAAGATATACAAACCCTTACAAAATTGTGCAGCTCTTTGGCTTCCTTTTCTACCCATATCACTTCAGGAATCTCTGCCATAATTTTATTTGTATGCTGCTTTCCACAAAAAGAATTGTGCTCAAAGCAGCAACACAATAGAAAATGAAACAGCATATAGGAAAGGGGGAAATTCAATGCTATAAATATAACAGCATTACATGAATAACATTACTCACATCTTGGCAATCACAAAAATATCATGGGAGGTTGACCTTGGTCCTAGAATCCCTCCCCACCCCCCAATATGTTTCTCACAGTTTCTCTCCTGCAGCAGTAACTTTGTAT